GTTTGGTCAATTTGATCGTCCACACCGATAGACAGTATTCAGAAAGAGACAGAGAGAGAGAGAAGAGGGGAGGAGTTGATCTTGCGAGAACTTCCGGGCGGGTGAGAATAGCACCTTTCATCACTGACACACTTGGGTGTAGAATCTATATCTAGATCTAGATTATAGATTTACTTCATTCTCCATGCTAAACTAAAGAATTGTTATACACAACCGCAAAATCAGGAAATGGATAGATCTAGATCTAGTGAGATGAATGTAGGCCTAGTAGTAGGATTTAGTAGGAAAAAATAGGTGTGTATTGTAGACCAAGAGAAACTATAACAATCTTGGGGAGGACTTCCGTAATGAGCGACCACTATTTATTCAAGATTGGACTTGTTGAGCACCACAATACTTATGGGAGACCGAAAGCCACTGTTATACTACCTGGACAGGAAAAAATTACGGTCGTTTGTGCAGTTTTAGGCCCTGTTCAACGATTTGAAGATCTGAGTCGGGAATTAGTAGAATTTACTCAGGGCGCAGCCATTGTTGACCCCGCATACTTTATCAACTTCCGCTCTTCGGGAGCGCTGGTTTACCAGGTTTTCGTCGGTTTCCAGCCAAATTCTCATCTCAATTAATCCTCCAATAAATAACGAGCGACCACAATGAAACAGGTAGAATAGAGAATTCTGAGTTAAGGGTAGGGGTAGGATTAAGGTTAGTGTTAGTGTTAGGGATAGGGATAGGGCTAAGGTTAGAATTAGGGTTAGGGGTAATACGAAACCGTTCACAATATAGAATCGCATGGGGGGGGTTATAGGGGGGCTTGCCCCCCTATTTACAATACAGAATCCCATGGGGAAGGGGGAGTTATATATGCAGCCCCCTATTTTCACAGGTTCGTTTCCCAGCCACGCCAATGATTTTTCTAATCATGTCATATTAATGTGTATGCTATGAGATGTTAACATGTCACTAATAATACCCATTCCAGGTGAAGAGACAAAGGAAGGCAAGAGGAATACAAAGTAACACAAACTCAATTTACTTTCTTTCTTTCTTTCTTTATTGCCCAACCAAATACTAAACCCTATCTTTTACATACCCACTCAAAAGTCCCTTCTTTATAACGTATGTTGGGGTGGTGGCTCGTTACGGAAGTCCTTCCCAATCTTGATTTGGAAAGTCACTCGGATTCGGGCACTACTTACCCAGTGCGGTCCCGTCTCTTTTGTTTACGTGGCGGCCATATCTATTGGATACCGATTTCAAACGAGACTTGGCGAATCACGTGAGATCTTGGTTTGGGGAGGGAAGGGCGGTTTGGCCGAGTCTAAAATGAGCCAAAATTCAAACTACCCAAAAAAAAGGTGGTGCTGCTATTTAGATAGAATTTACTATAAATCTAGATCTATATAATCTAAAACGACATTTAAACGGCATATCAACTTACCACTACGGTGCAGGATACCACTGAGACAGGTGGTCAATGAAATTATTGAATGCACTTTTCGGGTCTTTCCCGTGCAGCTCTCGCCACACAAATTCGTCTAAGTGCGAGGCAAGCATGGAGTTGTGTACTCTTTGCATGCACTTAAACCGTCTTTTCATGTTTTTCCAGTATCTTTCTACTCTGTTCGTGCATGCACCTGTCACTGGGTCTACGAAATTATGTTCATGGATGACTGTCAAATGCATATATATGGGGGGTTAACAGGAATATTAACTATATTAGTGTAAGCAGCAAAGCCATCACTGTGGATTGTAGTGCCGGGTGCAATACGGTTCTGTATAATATTCAAAAGAGTTGCTGCTGTTCTGTCTGGAACAATTTCTAAAAATCCTTTGTTGGTTGCCCTTTCCACCCCACCAAAAACCCACCTCTGTTCTACTACCCTCCCTACCTTGTTTTTTCTCCTGGCTACTAAACTTTTATCTATTTCTACTACATGACCTGGACCACCTATCTGATAATATTTTTCTACTAGCCACCACGAACAAACATCTCTAAAATAAGAAAACCCCTGAACAACAGTTTTTTCCGAAAGTCCAGTGAGTAGTGTCGTATGATTGACGGGTTCTTTGAAACTCCAGGAAAATAACAACTCAACAATGTTTCTATAAGACAACTGGCTGTTTTCCCAAAACGTGTCTGAACACAAAAATACTTTACGTCCTTTATGGGAAGGGCAACGAAAACAACGTTCTTCTCCTCTGCCTGTCTTCACTAAAGTCATAAACTTTCCACACTGAGCATCAGGGCATTCTGGAGGCGTTGAACGTACTAATAAATTTTTTGTAGAAATTCTAAAGCTTTTTCCTCACTGGAAGCATTCTCATACAAAATATTGTAAGCCATGAAAAAAACCACATCACATAATCTATTTTAAACTCACATTTCCACAGAAAATCAGAGAAAATCACATAAAAAAGAAATTCACATCCAAGAAGAGATGAAAAGATGAAATACACCTTATTTAACACAACTGAACGTAGTGAAATACTGATGAAAACTGATGAAAGCAGCGTGATAAGTATGGCCGAAAGGTGCGAAAAACTTTGTGGAATAATTGCCAAATGCATACTTACATTTTCTGTAACATCTACTTACCTGGAATTAGAAGTGTCGTAACATCTATACTATGGAGTTTGCAGCCACATTTTGTCCTTCACATTTTTAATAATTTACCCTTAAATGCCAAAAAATCTGGCCAACTCTAGCCCT